ATATTATGATTTTTAATATATTTTAAATATTATAAAAGATTAAATTTGATTGGTCAATAGCTCTATCACTAGGGGGGGAGGGGGTATGATCTATGTAAACCCTAATTACATGATTTACTGCACTTCTCTAACCGATATTCTGTTTATTATATAAAGTAACCAGAGCTATAATAGCGTGGTTAAGAATAGTTATTAATAAAAGTTTTTTAAAAAAAGGTCGTTATTTATAAGACTTATACTCCATCCAATATACTTTAAATTAATCATAAAAAAAGAAGAATTTTGCTAGCAATTTTTCTACTATTTTATTATCCGTTTAAAACCATCGAAGAAATTATAATTTTACATTTGGAGGGTAATGTGGCGGATCGTCACTAGTGATAATTCAATCCAATGTTACCCAACATTATGTAGTCTAACCAAAAAAATCAGCAAAACTATCGTACAAATATAATCAAATATCACTTAATAACGGTAATATTTTCAGGCATCTTTTTTTTTTTTTCTTAGTTTCCTTATTTGTTGCTTGCTTTTGTACCTTTTTTAATTCATGCTCAGCTTTTTTTTGAGCAGCCACTTCTTTTTTTCTTTTAGTTTCTTCTCTTTTTTGAGCAGCCACTTTTTTTTTTTTTTTTTAGTGTTATCAACTTTCTTTTTTGCTAATTTGTCTGCTTCTTTCAGAGCTTTTAATAATTCATCATTGGTAAGAAGTTGGGCAAATGATAATGTTTTTCTTTTTTTTGGTTGTGAAGTTTCTCCAGTTTCACTTTCATTAGCAGACAACAAGCGTGGAGCAGGATATTTCAGTATTAGCTTCAATGGAGAAGTACTAGGTTTCTTAAATGTCTCTAACTCTTTTTGCATTGCAATATAATTTTGTTTCATTTTCTCTAATTGTTTAATTTCTTTTTTAAGGTGTTTATTTTCTGTTTTTAAAGATTCTATTTCACTAAAATTATTAGTACGGGTTAAATATGTGTAGTTTGATTGAAAAGATATATTGTCTAATAAAGATGATGATGATGAAAACGATGATAGCGAAGCCAATAGTAATGAAGATGATGATAACGAAGATAAAGATGAAGATAAAGAAGATGAAGATAAAGAAGATGAAGATAAAGAAGATGAAGATAACGAAGATAATAGTAATGATGATAAAGATAATGAAGATGATAGTAATGAAGGTGATGTCAAAGTTTGCTTAGATAAAAGATCAGTTTTTTCAGTTAATAGTGAGGGATTTAGATGATCAATGCTAATAGCATTGGGGTTAAGAGGCCAAATTCCTGTAGTTTTAAAAGAATTCATAATTGCTTCAGGTGTAAAAGCTTTGATATATGCTGGTCCAAGTATTCTGGCAAAAGAGTATTTTGTTACTACTTCACCATTAATATTATGAAGGTTATTACAACCTTCATTATATTCTTTTTTAAGTTTTGAAAATGGAATTTCGGCCAGCTAGAGAATATGGGTAGTATGTGGTGAAAGAGCATATAATAAAATGTTGTTTTCATGACAAAAATTAACACATGTATAATTAATGTGACTTTTATGCCCATCAAGAATTAGAAGGACAGGGTGAGAGGGTGGGATTAAATTAACAAAATGTTTAAGGGGTAGTCCGCAATTAAAAGGGTATAAAATATGGTGGGCATTTTACTATAACTTTCATATAGTGATGGAATGCCAAACATTTCTGTGAATAAGAGAAAACTATAAGGTAAAAGGGGGTAATTTGGCGAAGTTAACAATGCTATCGATTAAACTTTTTATTGACCTGTGTAAAATTTT